TCTCTCTCTCTCTCTCTCTCTCTCTCACTGTGTGAAATGCGATTCGCGTGGATAGACACGTGGATGGTAGCTGGTTTTGTTAATTCTTCGTCTGCAAAAATTTCGAGTGTTACATAACACGAAAGAAATATGAGGTATTTCAAAATAACACTTATGAACGAGTCTCCTTTTTTTCTTACTTGTACAATATTGTTTGGCTGGTATTGAACAAGAAACAATCCGAATTTTCTTTTCAATCGAACGTCACGTATTTAAATTACAGGCCACTGAAGTCTCAATCTGCAATTTATTATCATATTAGATCTATGCTAAGCACGGCTCGAGGCGATCTTTCACCTCCGTTGACTGCTTTGTAAGCGATTCAAGCAACGTTCTGAAACTCCATTGTATTTCAGTTGCTGATTTCAATTGCCAGCTATCCTCTCCTAAATGGCACTTCCTAGTCCATCTACAATTTCTCAGTTATTGCTTTCGCCGTCTTTTACTTTCGTAGATGATTTCGGATACGTTCCCTTCTAAAATCTAAAATCCCCGTTTATTATACGTGTTTGTAAATTTTCACATGTCTCGTTTCAGCAACGGGTGCTGGACATCATCCGTCGATGACCTGTGGTCTATGGGTGCTAGGAGGTTTCTTGGTATTCGTCATAGCGGAGAAACTGTTCGCTTTCGAGCAGGAGACCGGCGTCGAGGATACGTCTATTAATAACGCGAAACTTTGCGAGAAAACAAACACCGAAGTTGAGAAGGAAATGGAGAACAATAATTGTATTAATTTGATCGGCAATAATCCGAAGAATGGTTCGAAGCTTCACAATGACTTTTCGAAAGTCATTAACGAGGTAATTCATAAATTCTGTAATAATAAACAATTGAAATTCTACTTGAACGTGAAACTAATGTAAGAAACTTATCGAAATTATTGTATTGTACAGTTGCAGCTAGGAAAGAGGAACGGATACTCCCAATTGCCAAATGGTTTCAAAGATGTGCACAAGAATGGCTTCGTTACCAATGGCATCAAGCCAGTATTAATATGCAGTGAGTTGTCAAATACACTGGAAAGTTCACCGTTGGACGAAGCAAATGATTATTTGAAGAAATTTGCAAGGAACACCAACGGTTTCGTGACTGAATTGTCGAACGGTTGTTCCAAAAAAGACAACCCGGACAAAGCTTCTGACGATCAACAACAGACTGTTGCAAATGAAAAGCCTAAGCATATAAGTGGCTATCTTAATCTAATAGCCAATGTTATAGACAACTTTACTCATGGGTTAGCTGTGGGTGGTTCTTTCCTCGTGTCCTTCCGTTTGGGTGTCCTTACCACATTCGCTATTCTCATACACGAAATTCCACACGAGGTTGGGGATTTTGCGATATTATTACGCAGCGGATTCAACAGATGGGACGCTGCGCGGGCGCAGCTTCTTACTGCTACTGGTGGCATTTTTGGAGCTATGTTTGCCGTATTTTTCTCCGGTGGTGAAATAGGTAATTGACGTATCTTTAATACTGTAACGAAAAGAGTTCAAGTATTTCTTACATTCAGTATGAATGTATGTATTGAACAATTGCAATAACGTTTTGTTTGTAGGAGAAAAAACGAATTGGATATTACCCTTTACTGCGGGTGGCTTCCTTCACATCGGCATGGTGACCATTCTACCTGAATTGCTTAAAGAAACTAGTCCCAAAGAATCATTAAAGCAAACAGTTGCGTTGCTCTTCGGTATTATCCTGATGGCAGTTTTGACGATTCTTTGTGACTAATAGAATTGCTTCGTTTTGTAATAGCATTAGATTTCATTTGTTGGTATACATCGACGCGTGTCAAGTGAAAGTTTTTGTTTCCATTTTAACATCCCTTAATACATGTCGGAACAAATAATTCGAGTTTGCCATAAGAAATTCTACAGCGTAATACTTGTTGCTCAATGATGGAATGATCCAGACCGGAAGACAACGGAGACGAGGAACGACTGACTAAATTCCTGTAGAAATGATGCAACTTTTGTACTAATCTTAATTTGATATAGGATACATTAAAAATATGTTCACATTTGGATAATACAATAAAATAACATCGATCTCCTTTTGCGATAGTTAATGTTCTTCTAGTAGTGAGAAGCGAAGAAAATATTTGTATAAGTTACTTTTATATTTTTCGATCGTTTATCGGGGATCGTATTATTGGTAATTTGGTATCATCGATCTATATTGTTATAAATCTGGCATAGTTTATACATAAATACACATGTTCCTCCATAAACTATCGAAAATGTGTTGCATGAAACGTCATTCCGTTTCTACGATATCGACTTACTTTACACTTAATCTTTGTTATCTAGACGCTATATCGTGAAACCAGTATTGACATGTGACTTTCACGTTATAAAACATCATCATGTACATAATGTTTATGCTTCCTTGTTTACTGTTGAAAAAAAAATGGAAATTCAAAAAAAAAATTTGTAAATTACGTATAGAAAAATACATGAGTATATATTTTGTGGGTACATGCATTAGTTTAATCGATGCGTGCATTTCAACTGATGTATATTTTAAGTTCCTATAATTAAATGTAAATAATGTATCGAACTCTTAACCACATTATTGTGAAAATAACATATTCCTAAAGATGAACATAAACAAGTTTGTATATCAGGTCACAGCAGAAATAATATACAAAAAGTAAAATCGGTATATAGATATAGGATCATTGCATTTAATAAAATTTTAAAGTTTATGTAAACTCAACTATTTTAAAGAAGTTACGAAGTAAGATGAGTTATTGAACCGGAGGAGATTCCATCTATTCTCCACAGTCTCCTGTATTATCTAAAAGTGCGAGTTTTATAAACCAAACAAAACAATCCTTGTACTTAAAGGATTATTCTTTCACAACAAAACTGTTGATGCATGAGCGTCTTTTTTAAGCACATGTAAATAGAAATTTGGAATTTACAAAGTTGTATTAATCAGCGATTTGGCAAATATATTTTCTATAAACTATGACTTCATGAGAAAATTGTTCATGTAATCATTATTATTTGTAAATAAAGTATTTTATTCTATAATACAGATGTTCAAATCATTTTTTTTTAATGAAATAACACGAGTATAAACTGTAAAAAATAATTTATTAAATAATTTTCTTAAACCATAAAAAAACAACGCTATACATTTTCTAAATGGGTAACTGAAATTTCTTACGTACTATATGTACAAGTAATTTTATAATTTGCATATATACATACACACTATATATGTATACATATATACATACTGATGTATCTTATGATACATCACGCATGCATTCCTTAAGACTGGTAATAACTTGAGGATAATGTTCGTGTAATATCCACAATTAATATTCAAAGTATTCATCTTAAAAGACTTTTATCACACACAAAACTTTGTACAATTATATCTACACGACGCAAAATAAATATCGAACTTCAGTTCTAATGAATATTTAATTTTATCTTTTCCTTCTGTCTATAATTCATCGCGAGAATTTTTGAGAAGCATGTCTCTTACTATATGTAAATTCTCATATCTATTGAATGTATGCAACACATTCAGAATGGGAAGTAATTCGTCTCTTTCTCTCCATTGATTAATACAAATGGGTGCAACAGTACTCACGCTATTAGAAATAGTTTCTAGAAATTCATAATTGATTCTCCTCTCATCGAAATCAATTTTGAAGCTCGATATCATAAGATTAATCAAATGATTGCAATATTCATATGTTAATTTTTTCTCCATATCAGCTGCGGCATATGCTTTTATTTTTAGTTGTTGCTGTTTACTGATATAAGTAATATCTTGTAAGTTCTGTCTCTCTATAATTAAGTCATCGATCAGTGTCATAACTTTCATTTGTATTGGTAACGGATCGTCAATTAAAATTTTTCCAAATATTTCTATTCCCCCATGATCAACCCACATTTTCTGTGCCGTTGGAAACTGTCTTATTAGTGCACTCAAAGCAAACAGGCATCTTGACTTCACTTTCACTTTATTATTTGTAGACAAGATATGTAAAAGTTTTTGAACAAAATCACTTTTGAATGCTTCTAACTGTACTCTGGGATTAGACTGAACAGCTGCACCAAAAAGTCTCAAAGCTTCAGCCTTTATTTCATTGTTTGTCCCATTAAGACAGGGAGATATAATTTTACTCAGGCTGCAATTAAGAAACTATGAAAGAAAATTATTCCATTGCTGATATTTTATTAGAAGAAAAAATGTTATTATATATACCCTTGCATGTCAGCAAAAACTTTGGCATTATCAATATGATGAAGCAGATATTCCAAATTATACAAAATATCTAAAATTTCTTCTGTTTCTGCAGCTGTTAAAGTACCCATAGTAATTCTATTTTGGTGAACTTGAAATTTTTGAAAATAGATACTCATCAATCCTGTCTCAGTGGTAATGTTTATTTCAAGTGCTTTGAATTCCTTCTTTAAAGTTTCATAGTCTCTAAATTTTTTTTTTATTTGTTGAGTGTGTTCATCCTAAAGATATAAAAATTTAAAGAGTTAGAAAATTATTCCTTACATATTATACATTGGTCTTGGTTAAAAGCAATTACATCTAGTTCTGGAATATTTTCTCCATCATCTTGTTTAATTTTTTTCAATCTAGCTTTTAATTCTTCAATCGGATGATTAAACAAATCAGATTTCTCAGCAGGTACAGGATCTTTATCTTCAAAAATTGCC